GCGCAATCGCTGGTTAAGCGCCGTAGATCTGAATTTTGGTACTTCGCCCCGCAACCTGTGCGGAACCCAGCATCGCGGGCGAAGTCTCACTAAAGGGATCTCGGTCGTGTTAAATGAGATCCTTTCGCATGTCACGGCGAAAACCTTTGCGACTATTAGCGATCTTTATTTCCTCAAATGATCAAGTTTTAATATCTTCTGGCGCACCACGCAGCTCACCATGAAGGCACCAGAGCGCCAGTCCAGCACTGCACAACTGGCCCCACTGTATAAGGATGCAAGCGGTGACAAAGGGCAGGGATGTAAACGCTCGTTATTGATACTCGTGCCATTAAATTTCGCGAATAATACAGTTTCCAACGTCCTGCGCACTTTGTATATTGATATTCTTCCATGGGTTACCTAGTCCTCCGGATACAGGGAAAAGCACATACGCTGATTCAATGTAGTGCGGGCCCCTGACATCTGGCGTTACTCCTATGACCTGTTATTGCCTTATCTCGTGCCACTGTCCTTTCCAAGAACTGAAGATGTGATGGGAACAAACAGAGCCAGGCAGGCTGGAGTCCTCGTTTGTTACTAAATTAAGAGCAAGCTGCCCAACAGCAAGAACGCCATGCACCCACCGGGCGGGAATCACAGAGCCTTAATCAGCTAACCTTCCTATGTGTCCAAGCAAAACATTTTCCCAAAGTTGAGTTGCACTGCTTCTGCAGTTTACCGGTGGCTCAAGATCCCTTGCTCTAGCTTTGCATCCATACTTGGAACAAAAAAGTTTCTTGAAGCTGCCTGGAAAAAGCCATTTCATGGGAATGACAGCGATCACATTGTACCGTTTATGGTTAGAATTAGCAAGGTCTGATCGCCTTCGAACTCTAATTGTCTTGATTAATGGCATATTCTTGTAAATGCTAGTAGTCACGTCTCGGCAGGATATCCGAGAATTCTTACCTTCGTCGCATGGAATTTCGTCTGTCCTCTCCACCTGGCTGCCTCGTTCCAAGAAATGTCAAAATAGAACGGAGGTCCGGTTCTATACTATTCTGTATGCATAATTATTCAGGTGTCACGCCTGCTTTGAGGTTTCTTAATTTTTTCAAAGTATAGTCACTCTGAGAGGCACTGGGTGAAGATCATCAGTTAACTGCCTGGAATTGATCGCAAGCCTGGAAAGAAAATACTTCAGAAAGTGGTGGAGACTGTCCGGGCTGGAGTCTGAGATCCAACTATTGAGCTTTTAACTGCAGCACTTATATGCTATTGAGCTGGCATTTTCGCGACGCTGGCACAGATCATACTTCCACTGATCTGCATGAAGATTTAGAGTGTAATTATTCCACCATGGGCCCTGCAAAAGAGTCCCAAGTTGTTATTTTTTGCCAGCCTCCCTGCCCTGGGAGTGTGTTTTATGCGCGCCTACAAGCCTGGATGTGGGGAGCTGCTTCAGGCTCCCTCTCCGAACACCTGAAACCTGATTCCCACATGACTCAAGCAGGCGTAAACGTCACGAGCAGCGATAAGGCAGACACTGAGATACGTCGCTGGACGAGACTACTGCCCAAAGCGCAGAGTCACTCATGACACGAGGCCCAGATTGATTTTATTCAATAAAGCGCTCAGTTCCCATGTATTTGCTTCTCCCAAGCTGCAGTTTAGCCTGACCAGCAAGCACCCGGCAGTGTACGACCAGAAAACCATACTGATCACCGTGCCTGATTTTGGCCTGCGGTTCTGCCTTTGTTACGGTGCCGCATTGCATACGCAAAGAATCTTTGAGATGCGCGTGACTACCAAGTAGATCAATTCAGGTAATCAGTTCCTTGCAGAATGTCTGAGTTTCAACTCCTCGAACTGAAGATCGAGACGTGACGTCTGGCCTGCGGGGATGCCCCTGAATTTGGCTGGAGGATCCCTCCACTGATGACGACCGCCATCGGGGCCAGTGTCGCCACTCACTGTCCGACGGTCAACGCCAAAGGAGCCTCTTAGGCATCGATGCACCCGCGCATGTAGACAGTAGAAACCAATCAATTCCTTTAAATATCTGGCTTCATCGCGTCAATAAAGCACGAGGCCGAGCTGGCCGCAGAGTGCCATTAGAGAATCAGCCCGAGATAATGGGAAACGAAAAGCTGTCCAGCCACCGCGCCCATTTTATAAAATAATTTCACTCTCGTGGCGGAGTAGTGGTGGAAGCGCAGCAGCCGTTCGCCTTTAGCAGTGTCCTGCTGCACCCGAGGCATTATCGCCGAAAACCGATACTGGAAAGAGCCGCCACAAAGCAGGATTGGCCTCTAAAGGAAAATTCAGCCTGATCCGCTGACCGCCGTGATGGCGAGGTCTTCGCGATTGCTGACACCACAAAAATGTGTTCACGTCTCGCGGTCGACTACTCACAACAGCAGTCACCACCCAGGACAGTCCGAAGACTCCAGACGCACGCTTCACGCATGCGCGCTTCGGCAACCCTCCAACCGAGGGGAGAAGCTCGCCGGTGGGTAAAAGAGGAATAGCTGTGCACTCGCACCCCGCTCATGCCGAGGGCTTCGGCATGGGACACCCCGCTTTATGCGGTGGTCAACCCTCCCTACTTCGGACTTTGAAAAAAAACTTGACTTCCTCCCATTGGAATACGGGACTGGTCAGTTTGTCGTTTTTTCGCTCGCGAGGACACAGGATTGATAGGGACATTTTTTACAGGAACTTCACCCCTGTCTTCGTGGACGAGATAAGATAGGGACAGTTGGGAATCTGGTTTATGGGCACGAATCGCAACTTTGAAATAAAAGGCGCGCATTTTCGTTCGTTGACATTTGTTTTTCATAAAAAAAACCGCCACTTTCTATTTAAAGACTTTGTTAAATTTTTTTCTTGTTTCATAATATATGCTTTTCCTATATATAATTCGAATTTCATTGAAGGAATTTTGTTATTAATATTTATGCAAATTGTGTTATGTTATTCCTTATAAACAATTCAGAAAAACATTAATAAATTATTCTTTATAAACAATGCAGAACAACTTAAATATTGTTGGAAATTTAAATTAATCTGTATAAACAATTCCGAAAAACTTTAATACTGTTATTTGCTTTTAATATTATTTAAACAATGCAGAAAAACGTTAAAATTTTCATTTCCTTTAAAATTAATCTTTATAAACAATTCCGAAAAACTTTAATAGTGGTTTTTCTTTTCAAATTACTCTTTATAAACAATGCAGAAAACCGTTAAAATTGTCATTTCCTTTGAAATTAATCTTTATAAACAATTCCGAAAAACTTTAAGACTGTTCTTTGCTTTTAATATTCTTTAAACAAAGCAGAAAACCGTTAAAATTGTTGTTCGCATTTAGATTACTCTTATAAACAATTCCGAAAAACTTCCAACATTAGTTCGCATTTATGAATCCTCATCAACAATTCGGAAAAACATTGTTGTTTCAGATTATATTAAGGTGGAAAAACTAAACTCCTGTTTTATGATGAATTCAGATTCTAATCGAACCTCGTTTTTGTGGAAATTTATCTCTTTAAACTGCTTCCTAAGTTTTGAAACATCATATAAACATGTCAAGCGAAACAGTTCATTTTAATGATTTATGAACTCTTTAGTTTGCTTCCTAAAAAATGTTATTTTATGGCAGAGTTTCAGAATTGTAGAACGTTACAAGTTTTGCATTTCCTGTTAATATGTTATTAAAAGCTGACATAAAATGTGCATATTCATTGCAATTAATCATGCCATTACCGTATGTTAACCTATCACATAATGTCAATACACATACCCTTCGAAATTCATCACTTGTAATGACCTACTTTGGAATGCTTCAACATTATAGCACAACAAAATTGAAATTTTAACACTGTTCATTGTAAATCAAGTCAATGAAAAACTCATATTCTTTCAAATAAAGACATCCCATCTTGAAATTCAATAGTTAATATTCCCCATTGTTGAATGCAGCAACAATCACAGATACGTAACCAAAGTATTTTTGGTTGTCCACCTAAATTGGGCGAAATTTATGAAATAAATCCTAGTTTCATGCTTCTGAAGATGGTATTAACTTATTTCATTAACATACCTCCAAAGTGGATCAATTTTCTGTAAATAAATATCTCATTTGTTTATTATATACAAAGGTTTCTTCAAGTTCACTCTTCTTTTCACATTGTACTTACATATAAACAGACTGAAATACAAATTTCCAGTTTGTGAATTCACAAATAACTGAAAAGATGGTGATTAAAACAAAAACCTATGAAGTACATATAACTTCCTATTCAATATCAGTTGTGTTTTCCTAAAGTGACAATGAAAAACTCATAAAAATTTATATTCATAATGTCACAAACAGGGAAAGACATGCTAAATGAGGTCAAATGCTGTTTCCATTTCAAAAATCAATGTCAATTGCCTTTTTATTAGATAACGGAACAAAAATTTTAACTCTTCGGAACCATTACTAACAGAGCATACTGAATACTTACCATGACATTTAATCAATGAAAATAACATTTTAACTATTGTTATTTGACTCGTATGTATGTTGAAACAAAAAAAAAAATGGTTTCTTTTTATGTAAGGGTGTTTATTTTCAGGA